ATACTTTCTCGTAGCTTGATGTGACGAAGTGTCTCTATCCAGATATCTCTTGATAGTATTCTAGAATATAGAAGGCTGATATGACCTTGAGCTCGTAACCGACAAGTCACCGCATTAAAATTAAATTGCAAATAGTGTTCAACAACACGATGGTGGATGAAACTTTCTAATATTCGAAGATATGTGACCCTCAGACCATATTGTTCCATTATTTTCTATTCAATCAATCAACGTCAAAGAATTGATTCATCATCGTACTTCAATTTATCATTTCACCTTTTAATGTACTTTCATTCTTATGCATCACGAAAGAACACTGAATTGGATTCTTCAATGTTTGTTTTGATTTCCTACCCTTTCCTTCTTTCTGTTTAATACTGATAAAATTTTCAATTTTTCTTAATCAAGGCAAAATATTATTTTCATATTTTCTTTATGCAAGAGAGGGAGAGAGAGAGAATATGTTAAGTGAGAATTATCAAGTACAACTATGAATTGCATCCTTTTCAATATTATTCAATTCGCTGTAAATATATTTAGAGTATGAATATGATAAATCCATATAATACACCAACGCTCCAACCATAGCCCATATGCCAATGCACCGTATTTATCAAATATGAAAAGATTTTTAAATGAAATTTGAAGAAAAATCAAATTTACAATGCACTGACAGGCATCAGTTGAAATCATGATTTCTCTGTGACTGGATTAGCACTAGTTTCTGAGGGACCAGTCACTGAAGAGGAGATAAAGGGAAGGAAAATTGATGAAGAAGTAAAGAAAAGAAGGGGGATATCATGCAGTTGCAATTATCCCGCCAACAAGTTGCGGATGGGGTGGGGCAAAAGGCCTTTGCCTCCCCCGCCCCCGCTAAAAAGAGAGAGAGACCAAAAAAGAGGAAGAAGAAAAAAAAAGGGTGAAAAGAATTTGGATGCGGTGTTCGAGTAGAATTCTGTGAGATGATGATATACTTTCTCGTAGCTTGATGTGACGAAGTGTCTCTATCCAGATATCTCTTGATAGTATTATAGAATATAGAAGGCTGATATGACCTTGAGCTCGTAACCGACAAGTCACTGCATTAAAATTAAATTGCAAATAGTGTTCAACAACACGATGGTGGATGAAACTTTCTAATATTCGAAGATATATGACCCTCAGACCATATTGTTCCATTATTTTCTATTCAATCAATCAACGTCAAAGAATTGATTCATCATCGTACTTCAATTTATTATTTCACCTTTTAATGTACTTTCATTCTTATGCATCACGAAAGAACACTGAATTGGATTCTTCAATATTTGTTTTGATTTCCTACCCTTTCCTTCTTTCTGTTTAATACTGATAAAATTTTCAATTTTTCTTAATCAAGGCAAAATATTATTTTCATATTTTCTTTATGCAAGAGAGGGAGAGAGAGAGAATATGTTAAGTGAGAATTATCAAGTACAACTATGAATTGCATCCTTTTCAATATTATTCAATTCGCTGTAAATATATTTAGAGTATGAATATGATAAATCCATATAATACACCAACGCTCCAACCATAGCCCATATGCCAATGCACCGTATTTATCAAATATGAAAAGATTTTTAAATGAAATTTGAAGAAAAATCAAATTTACAATGCACTGACAGGCATCAGTTGAAATCATGATTTCTCTGTGACTGGATTAGCACTAGTTTCTGAGGGACCAGTCACTGAAGAGGAGATAAAGGGAAGGAAAATTGAGGAAGAAGTAAAGAAAAGAAGGGGGATATCAGTCGCAATTTTTCCGGCCTCCCCCCTCACTTGGAAAAAAAAGGGGGGGGGGAGGGGAAAGATTTTTTTTTGGGGAGAAAAAAGTGTTCCTTTCCCACTTGTATCACAGAGAAACAACAGTTTAAGTTAAATCTAACGTTAACGTTAATTTGTTATTTAAACGTAGAGTACAGCCCTTGGCCTTAGGCCTAATTTAGGTCGTAACTGTTACTGTTTGAAAATCTAAAGTAAAATTAGACGGTTTTCATGGTTAGACCAAGTAATTCAGAACAAAAAAGTTTACCCGTCACTGAGACCAGGTCAATCAATCTTCTAGATCCATTATTAGGGTCTAACGTTAGTAGATATAAGGTAGATGCAGGCGCGGATCCAGCGGGGGTGAGCGGGTCTTGCCTCCCCGATGCCTTCCCCAAAAGAGAGAGAGAGAGAGAGAGAAGGAAAAGAGGGAAAGGGAAAGAGGAGAGAAAGGGAAAGAAAGAAGAGGAAGAAGAGAAGAAAATGGGGAAGAAGGAGATCGGGGGGGGCGAAAGGGCCTTGCATCCCAGGCTGTTGCCTCCCCCCAATAAAACAAAAAGAGAGAAAGAAGGAAGGAAATGGAAGGGAAAAAGGAAAAGAGGAGATAAAGGGAAGGAAAATTGAGGAAGAAGTAAAGAAAAGAAGGGAGATATCACTTGCAATTTTCCCGCCAACAAGTTGCGGATGGGGGTGGGGCAAAAGGCCTTTGCCTCCCCCGCCCCCGCTAAAAAAAAAGAGAGAGAAGGAAGGAAAAGGAAAAAAGGAGAGCTAAAAGTGACCAAAAAGAAGAAGAAAAAAAGGGTGAAAAGAATTTGGATGCCGTGTTCGAGTAGAATTCTGTGAGATGATGATATATTTTCTCGTAGCTTGATGTGACGAAGTGTCTCTATCCAGATATCTCTTGATAGTACTATAAAATATAGAAGCCTGATACGACCTTCCGCTCGTAACCGACAAGTCACCGCATTAAAATTAAATTGCAAATAGTGTTCAACAACACGATGGTGGATGAAACTTTCTAATATTCGAAGATATATGATCCTCAGACCATATTGTTTCATTATTTTTTATTCAATCAATCAACGTCAAAGAATTGATTCATCATTGCTCTTCAATTCATTATTTCACCTTTTAATGTACTTTCATTCTTATGCATCACGAAAGAACACTGAATTGGATTCTTCAGTGTTTGTTTTGATTAATTTCCTCCCCTTTCCTTCTCCCTGTTTAATACTGATAAAATTTTCAATTTTTCTTAATCAAGGCAAAATATTATTTTCATATTTTCTTTATGCAAGACAGGGAGAGAGAGAGAGAGAGAGAGAGAGAGAGAGAATATGTTAAGTGAGAATTATCGCGTACAACTATGAATTGCATCCTTTTCAATATTATTCAATTCGCTGAAAATCTTTATTTTATAATTCCACGGGGGTGATTTTTAATTTTGCAATCGCACCCGTGGACAACCTTATGGGGGCGATTATGGAGCTCACGGGGGCGAATCGCCCATCGCCCCCGTGTATTTTGAGCGCTGCTCCCCACCCACCAAAGGAGCTGACGATAACCGAGAGTACATCTAAAGTAAAACAAAAAGATTAAATGCATAACATTATATACGTCATGAATCGTGTCATTAACAAGCACTTGTAATTTTAATAAAGTGGTAAAATATAGGTTTAGGTACGAACAGAGTCACGTCGCGTACACGCGAAAGCGTGAGATTCGTATTTTACTGGCCTGTAAACAAGACTTCGAACTATCAACTCTACAGTAGATAAGATGGCTTGTATCTACAAAAGTACACAAAACGGGATATCGTGCGAGATCGTTACAAGCAATATCAGTTAACTTTCATACGAATAGCAGGTTATTTTTATTCAACAAAAGGTAGGATGCAGAATATGATTGATCCTATTCATTGAATGTATGGATGATGTTTATATATTTGCCCTACAAAAGCAAAATAAAGAATTTACTGTACCCAGTTGGTTCTACTTTGGTGGTTAAATGAACAAACGAAAGGATAATATTTACAATGGAGCTATTCCCATGGACGCCATTGGAAATAACATATTTACTAGCTTTTATGGGTCATCCTGGTCAAGTTATATATTTATTATCTGTATTCTACGAATAGAGTATTCAATATCAAAATTGGTCATGGTGGCTTTCTGAACCAGTATGAGCTGTTTCAAAAATTCACACAAATTCTCCAATCAAACGATATAATAGTTGTATATTTATATGAACAAATGATTCAAAGTATCATGTTTACTTGCCTACGTGTAGTTAGTTTTCTGAAGGAAGTGTGTCTCAACTTACTGAATAAAGTTGGTGGTATGGTTTGGATGCCTTTTGAGCATAACACAAGTTAAAGAGACTTAGAAATTATGTTTGGATGAGAGAAAATGGTGCTAAGGTAATGACTTAAATGCTAGGTGTACAGTTAAAGAGAATCTGAAAGTTCAAGTGAAAACAGACCATTATTGATGATAGCAATTAGGAAAAACCTGATCTGTTCGATTCCTGAATTCTCTCAACTATATTATTGCAATTTGATTACAATTTAGGCGAATGTAAAATCGTCACAAAGCAATACATTGGCTCTTTATACCATTCCAGACATGAAAGTGTTGAAAGATTTAAAAAGCCTGGCTCATGTCTTATTTTTCATGGAAAATCGGTTGGGAAAATTAAAAAAATGATAGGGAGAATTAACTGTTAGAGGGGGTTGCACAGTGACGCCTTAAAAGAAAAACATAAATATATTTGGGGTAAGAGATTTTTTAAGGATTGTTTGCATGTAAGGGGGTTAGAACAGTAGAAGGAACATTAAGTAGCATTTCATACACAAATTACGCTAGTTTTTCATCAACCTTCAACAATGTTACCGAGTTACTTTAAGGTCGTGTTAAGGTAAACATAGGCCAAAGTCACTGGTCAATGGTGTATTTCTCTTCTTTTTTTTTTTTAGTTGTCACTGGCATATCTGATGTCATTATTCAAGCCATGCAGGGGGCGGGGGAGGTTGCAAGTACAATGTTAGTTGTACAGGTCTGTACATGTTGGTGTTCTGAAGCTAGTGTTCATTCATACAGCGTCGGACAAAAGCAATAATGGCAAAGCGTTCAGACAATAATGGTTAGTCTCGGTGAGCAAGTTGCTGATTGGTCAGCGTTTTTAGTGAATGACATCACAGGAAAGAGTAGACGGATCAGCGGTAAGCGGCATAGATCAGAGGAGGCGTGTGATGTTTCTATCTCGTTAAGTGGTAATAATCATGTCCTGGTCGAGGAAGCTGGTATCAAAAGTTAAATAAATAGTCCCATGTCTTTCGACCTGGATCCCATTCTAGCAATTTACTTCCAATCTTACACATCTCTATTAAAGCTTGGATATATCATCGGACTTTATACATCATCATGACAGTCTTGGAGCCAACCTCATCCTCCTTAGGGAATATGTCAACGCATTCATCCTCTAAATACATTCAGGTAAGATATATATTTCTTTCCTAGCCCTATCTTTCTCTGGCCGGATGTTCTGTCGTCATCTTTCTGTCTGTCTCCGTTTCTCTCTCTCTCTCTCTGTCTCTCTGTTTTTTTTTGTTTCTCTCTATCTTTCTTTTCTCTTTCTTTCCGGCCACTCTCCCTCTCCGCTATCGTTCATTCCTCCCCAAACTTCTACTTCTGTTTTTCAAATGATAGGCCTACATCCCGGGCCTGAGTTTTTGCATGTTAAGTATATCTTTATATCTTGAAATCTCTGACAATGTAATATGTTCATGCAAAAAAATTATTGAAAAACCCATGTTAGAAATTGATAGGACTATTACAAATTTACATAATATGCACAATTTGAAATCTATACGTGTACAAACCTTTTAATTTCATTCTCTCTCCAGATTCCCTACGACTCGTCTGAACTTGGGAAACCAAGCCCTCTCGCCTTACTGGCTACGACCGTCAACAAGATCGGCACTCCATCACCAGGCATCGAGTCTGCACGCAATAGATCTCCCGTGCCTCAGCGTACGTCAGCGCCGACTACGCCACGGCAACGATCGGGTGCGCCTTCGACATCGCCTATCTCCGTGGCGCCACATCCAGCTAAAGTACCGAATACACCATCGCCGTTACACCGCGTGACACCTCTTCCAATTGACTACCCAATGTACCACGTACCGCTACCTATCCGCCACTCGCCGTACTCCGTGGGCGTGGGTTTACCTGCCGGGCAGCAAATAGTACCATCGATGCGATTCGACGTACCAGCCTGCTGCGGCCTTCAGTACCCGCTGTATCACGACATGTACCACATGAACCAGGCGATGATACCACAGCTACCAGTGATGTCACCCTTCTTAGGCGTCTACCCTCATCATGATCTCCCACTTGCCAGACTCCCGTCATCATTGAAGGCTTCTTCAGTTCGTCGAAGGTCGCACCATCGAATAGTTAAGCGACTAAGGCGGCCGATGGGGGAGATCATCGACGTCGTCTCTCTGTGATCAGTTTATATATGCCATGCACATTGAATCAATGATTTCCTCAACTTTATTCCTTGTAGAATATTTTCTTGCCATTATGTTGTCACAATAATTGTTCAATAAACTGAGCTCATAACCATAGTCAACGAAACATATTGTTTCATTTCATGTCCCCGTGTTTACGCTAGAGAAGAAGATAGAAAATGAGACAGAGAGAGGGAGGGAGGGGTAGAACATTAATTATAAGTGCTTAAGAGGGAGAGAAAGGGAATAGGGGACAGTATAAAGAAATCGAAAGTGTAAGAGATCAGTGTCGAATTGAGATGGGGTGGTAAATCAGAGGTGGAAGAGAGAGAGAGAGAGAGAGACTGATCTCGGTGACGGTTGTAAGAGATCGAGTTTCGGATTGAGAGGGGTGGTAAATCTGAGGTGGAAGATAGAGAAAGAGAGACAAAATGATATGTCTGACTGGAAAATGTCGAGAGTATGGAAAAGGAGGAATAAAGATTTTGTGGAGGACCGAATTAAGAAAAATGAAAGAAAGAGAATTCTCTCTCTTATGCTGGGCATGATACATTTCGCCTTAACAAAATACCATTTCTTGATTGTTATTTTTCACTAATGACATGTCGCCTTTTAAAACCAGACCCCCCCTTTTCCTAACAAAATTATGCCTCTCACTCCCCGTTCTTGATCCCCTTTTCTGTTTAATCGTCAATTAGTTTTAAAGGAACCTCGAAACAAGCCTAACTTGGTGTCATTGAATATACAAAACAGTAAGCATTGAATATGAATTTTTGTGGAGTGTAAACATAAAATTATATATTTTGACATTAGCAACGAGAGTGTATAGGCTACCTTTAATTTGCTGGGCCTATCTCCACACTTTTTGGGGAAGGGGTGGTCATCAAGCCTATAAATTGATAATAAAATTGATCGGCTCAATTTTAGTTGCTGAAACATTCCCCCCCCCCCCCCCCTGGCAAACGAGAGAAGAAAAGGGACAAGAAAATAAAGGAAAACAATTATTTATTCTTAACAGATAGAGTATATTTCTTCTCGGAACTTTATTGATCAACCTATAGAGCCAAGAATAAACCAAATTGCCATATATACTTCTAAATCTTCGCTTGAAACCAGCACCTAAAGTTCAGTGGCGTACCTGGGGTACTCCGTCAGGGGGGGGGGGGGGGGGCAAGCGACCGAAACAAACAAAAAAGGCGTTGCTAATTTTCACTTCTGGCGAGCGAGCGAGCAAAAAAAATCTTTAAGTAACGTTTGGTATATAAACTGGTATTGTTGCAAGTTGGGGTGGGAACATTCACTTGTTAGCGACGTTAATTTCATTTTTTTTGCAAACGAGTGTAGCGAGCAAGAAAAAAATCACTTCTTTTTAATAATTGCCACTTAAACTTGGTTCAATTGTCCCATGCAGGGCGCGGGAACAATATTGTGTTTAGGGTGATTTAATACCCATTTTAGATAGCGAGCGAAAATACATCTTTCTCTCAATGAATTGCTATATAAAATTTGTTTCATTGTTGCAGGTAGGGGGCGGGCACAATCGTGCTTAAGGCAATATCAATCCCATTTTGGTGGGCAGGCAACCCCCTACATTTCCCTGTTAATGATATTGTAGCAGGTTAGTGGTGGGCACATAATTCCACGAGCTAGCGAAAAAAAATCACTTTTCTTTTATAGGGAAAATATGGTACATAAAACTTGGGTTCATTGTTCCATGTCAGGGACGTGATTATTAAAAGCGGTGTTATTTCTATTTTGGCGAGCGAGTGTAGCGAGCGAGCATAATTTTTGTAATGATAATTGGTTCATACATTTCAGATTTTTTTGTTGCACGGCAGGGCTTACACAATCATGTCTTAGGTGATGTTAATTCCGTTTTGGCGAGCACGAGCACACCAAAACTTCTTTGAATAACGTTTGGTACATAATTATTAACTGGTTGTTGCAGGTTGGGGCGGGCAAGTTAGCGGTGTCAATTCCATTTTGGCAAACGAACATAGCGAGCAAGCAAAAAAAAAAAATTCTCTTTTAATAGAAATTAATAAATAAACTTGTTTTTATTGGTGCAGGTCAGGATGGACGCAATCGCGTTTAACGCGATTCAATTCCTTTTTGGCGAGAGGGCGAAAAAACTCTTCCATTTTTAATGATATTGTTGCAGGTCAAGGGTGGGCACAATTGTTTCCAAAGCAATGTCTATTCATTTTGTTTGCGAGCGAATGTAGCGAGCGAGAAAAATGAATTAGTCTCTTTTAGTAACATTTGGTACATATATTGTGTGTTATTGTTGCCATGGTTGCAGGTCGGGGCCCGTCGGGGCAGGCACAATTGTATTCTAGGCAATACTAATCCTTTTCTTTTTTCAGGGGGACGAGAAAGTGAAAACATTTTATACAAAATAGGCTAGCAAGCAGTTCGCGCCAGCGAAGAGTTTCAAATTTGTTATATCACTTATATTTTCCTATTTTCATTTGTTTTAATTTTTCAGGGCCGTATGCGGAATATTTTTCTGGTGGGGGAGGGGGAAAGATGCGTTAAAAGTTTTCGAAGAATCTCAAAAGCAAAAGGAGGTGAAGGGAGTTCGAGCGACCGAACTGGTCATGAGGGTACTTTTGCGTTTTCAAAAGTAGAATTGAAGGATTTGGTATAGGCCTACACTACATTTTCAGGAAAAAAAACTTTACTTTTTCAAAATATCTGGGGTCAACTGCCCCCCCCCCCCCCCCCCCCCCCCCCTGGTGTGTACGGCCATGGTCTTTTAAAAAAAAAAATCCCCATTTTTATTCCTTTCCTTTTCTTTTCCTTTTTTCTTCCTTTTCTCTTCTTCTTCCTTTTTTCTTTCCTTTTTTTCCTTTTTAGGTGGTCTGTTGTCAACAGACCACCTATTGATTTCGTCAGAATTTTCTTTCTTTATTAGGTGGTCTGTCAACGACAGATCACCTATTGTTTTCGTCAGAATTTTCTTTATTTATTATTCTTTATTTTTATTTCTTCCCGTTTTTTGTTTATCGTTTAACTCAAGATCAGTTATGTTAATTTCTTTTAATTTTGACACAGTCATAGGTCTTTGTCATGAGACGTGACAGGAACATTTTCAAGGTCATCAGGTTATCGTGACGTCATCCAGGCGCCATTTTGTGAAATCACGTTATCCATCATATCTCCATGATGCATTAGCAAAGGTCATTCATATTCATATCACATATACTTCAGGTTAAGGGTCAACAGGTCATGTCATCAAAGGTCACATAAAGGTCATGACGCGCGCGTACCTTTGCGTCAAAATTTTAAAATGCTCAAAATCACTTAACTATCAAACGAGAGTACGAATCAGATCATTTTAAGCATTTCAAAATTTTCCGTCCGTAAGTGTCCCCGCGCGCGTTGCGCGCGCTCACAGCGCGTGGAAAAGGTCAAATTCAAAATGTTTACATGATTTGGATTCCTCTTAACGTAATTGACAACTTACATTAATTTGAGTCACTCTTCATATTTCATAAGGCCGTGAGCGTGCGTCAAAGTTCAAAATCCGCGCGTGCTGCTATAGGCAATATAATGCAAATTTCATCAAAAACATGCCATTTTAAAAATCGAAATAGCTCTTCAGATAGTCCATCGACCCCCAATTTTTATATCATGGTTGGAAAAAGCATGAGTTGTAGATATGATTTCATACCACCCTGACTCGTACAAAGTGAAACAAAGTCATCATATTGGCATCTAAACTCAAAAAAATGTATTTTGTTGATGACGTCATTTTTGTCTTTGTTTAATTGAGATTATCTCACTTATCGGTCATCGATTTTCTCCCAGAATTTAATATGTTGTAGCTGAGATAATTCTCTATCAAAAATATATCATTTATTTTTCATTTTGATGAAGTCATCATAGTTAAATATTCCATTAAAGGCGACAATGCATAATTTGTCATATTTGCGTGTTATGTCTATGGGAGGTCACTTTTTTCAAAACATGAATCTGCATGACAAGGTGTTTTGACCAGTATCTCGGTTGTTATTCAACAGTTTTCTCCCAAATTTTAGTATGTTGTAGCTGAGACTATTTGCTATCTAAATATTTCCTTATTTTTTCAATCAGATGTCAGGATCATGCTAATGCTCGTCATCATCATTAACATTATCGTTTTTATCATCATATAACATTATCATTATCATCATCGTCATCACCTTTACTATCATGATCATCATCATGGTCATCATGATTATCATTGTTTACATGTCTATATAACTTCTCCCATTCTCAAATCTATCATAAGACTTAGACAGACCACCTTATTCGTCTTCGTGACGAATTAAATTCTAGTTTATTATTAGGTGGTCTGTCAACGACAGATCACCTATTGTTTTCGTCAGAATTTTCTTTATTTATTATTCTTTATTAGGTGGTCTGTTATCAACAGACCACCTATTGTTTTCGTCAGAATTTTCTTTCTTTATTTATTAGGTGGTCTGTTATCAACAGACCACCTATTGATTTCGTCAGAATTTTCTTTATTATTATTATTATTATTATTATTATTATTATTCTTTATTTTTATTTCTCCCCGTTTTTTGTGGCCCGGATAACTCAAGTTTGGTTTAGTTAATTTCATTAAATTTCGGCACAATTATAGGTCATTGTAATGAGACGTGACAGGAACATTTTCAAGGTCATCATGTTATCGTGACGTCATCCAGGCGCCATTTTGTGTAATCACATTATCCATCATATCTTCATGATGCGTACTCAAAGTTTATTCATATTCATATCACATATACTTTAGGTCCAGGGTCAACAAGTCATGTCATCAAAGGTCACATAAAGGTCATGACGCGCGCGTATGTGCGCGTCAAAATTTAAAATTGCTCAAAATCACTAAACTACTAAAGGAGAGTACGAATCAGGTCATTTGAAGCATTTCAAAATTTTCCGTCCGTACTTGTCCCCGCGCGCGTTGCGCGCGCTCACAACGCGCGGAAAATGTCAAATTCAATTTGTTTACATGATTTAGATTCCTCTTACCGTAATTGACAATTTACATTAATTTCAGTCACTCTTGACCTTTAATAAGGCCGTGAGCGTGCGTCAAAGTTTAAAATCCGCGCGTGCTGCTATGG